AGGGAATATGAGGACGCCCTGGAGTCTCTGGGGGAGCACATCAGACGACGCTCCCCCAGGCCAGTACTGGTGGGTGGGGATTTCAACGCCCATGCGTTGGAGTGGGGTTCCCCATCCACCGACTCCAGGGGCGACAGCACCCTGCTGTGGGCGGCGCGGCACGGCCTAGTCTTATTGAATAAAGGCCGTGTCAGTATCTTCGTGGGGGCCCGGGGGGAGTTCATTGTCGATCTGACGTAGGCGACCCTCGCGGCTGCCATCAGGATACAAGGATGGCATGTGGACGCCGACTCCCTGGGAGAACTTACGGATCATCGTCTGATCCGCATGGAGCTGGTGTCCATCCCCGCGGAGGTGTCGCTAAGACGCCGCCTACATGAGAAGGAACGTCGATGGGCCCTGCGCAAGTTCTTTATCGCCTCATTTTCCTTTCGTGTGAAAAAAATTCGAGTGTGAAGAAATATTCGAAGAAATGTTTACAAATTGATAGGCAGTTATCATAAGTTTCAGTTGTTCTTAGCTTTGAGATTCAATATGAATAAATTGCTTTACAATGATTTAAAGAATAAAGCAAGATATTATCCAAAAAATTTAATGGATATTAGTTAGACGAGGAAAAGATTTTCTCACACAATTACGAAGCGTTTAAAATTATGAAAAAGCGATTGTTGAATCTATCATATCTCTCTTGTATCTCATGCGATAAATTATGTGTAGAGACGTTTCTAAGCTTGAGAAGTTGAAAAAAACAATGGATGGACTTTTTGAAAAGATCTGACCTACGTAACAGAACACAATACCGATATTGGATTCATTTGTAAGCTTTGTTTGAGCAAATTTTACAGAGAGTTTCACATGTTGCCTTCTGCTTGCATTTTGAATAATCTTGTCGTAAAACCATTATCAGATGTTTTATCGGATTTCAATGATTACGAAAAAAATGTTAATTAAAAGAATGAGCAGCTTCCAAGTAGTGCAAACGATGAGTTGTGTTTCGAACAAACATATGTCGCACAGACAAATGATCCGCAAAGTAAAAGGTAGAACATTTCATTTGCTTTTACAAGAAATATTTAATAAGGTATGTCCTCCGGAAGATCGTATAAATTTGAATCACGAGTTGTTCGAGGTATACCCAAAATGTCTAAAGTTGTTTGGGAAAATTTGATAGATATTAATAAAATGTATAAGGCTTCGACATAGAACTTGACGATCCATAGAATGTTTTAGCTACTCGTCACGCATGAATCTCGTCACGGCAAAGTATACGCACTTGTCAGATATCGTCTTGAAAATTTTGAGAGACAAATTAAAGACTGTCTTATGTTTATCAATTTACGATTATGTGAAATCTTTGATATAACAGATACAAATGATGGTTTCTTTAGCAGAAAACACATTCTTCTGTTTGGAGATTTATTGCATCTTCTGCCTGTAAAAGAACAATCTCCGTTCGTGAAAATGTCTCGATCAGAAATTCATAAGTATTTAAGTACCATAGATGATTCGTCTGATTTGTGGAGATTATTCGATTACGACTCTTGATTAATATGCGACAAAGATGCGACAACACATATCGTAATATACTTTCTAGAATACGAATAGATTTGGTAACGGATTCTGACATCAATGTTCTTTAGTCGAGAAAAATCCATTTCAAAGGAAGTAGTTGCGACGAAAGATTGAATAAACTTTGCACTTATATGAATCAATTACCAATTGATACAATATGTTTATTACCCACGTGTTATTTGTGCAAAGTTTTGATTACGACAATGCTCGATAAAATTGATGAAATTCTACTAATAGCAGAAAATAATGTCGATTATGCTCCAACAATGAAAAAAAAGTGCATAAAATTTTGGAAGACAAAGATGACAAAGTTTCGAAACAGCTGGTATTGAAAGAGTAATAGCGATTAAAATTGCTAAAGTAATGATTCGACGAAATATTGATGTAACTTTGGGAAATATTGTTGTAACTTGTCAACGTTGGAACGATAGGCAATGTTAATTGCAGTTAACTGTGTTGACGGAAATCGTATTAAAATAATTATTTCAGATAACAAAGAAATCATAATAACAAAAGTAGATATTAAATTCGAAGTATTCCATAAAATGGTGATACATCGGAAATAAATTTCCATTGTCTTTCAGTAATGGAATAACTATACACAAAAGTCAAATAATTACGTGTAGAAATGCAATGATGGATCTAGGAAAGATGGATCTAGGAGTGTATTCAGTGATGGTTAAGCATATGTAGATTTATTACGAGCGAGTGCACTAGAAGGCCTACATTTGATAAATTTCAATTCGACATTCGTTAAAGCAAATTCGGCAACCATTGTAGAATATAATCGACTGAGATCTGTGTTCAAAGCTCAGTTACCACAAATCAATTCGTCCGAGAAAAAGGTTATGAAAATTCGCTATTGTCGATGGACCATACCTAATATCATTGATGATGTACAGAATTATGATTGTGAGGAACCAGAAAGTACAGTTACATGGAAAAGATACGGCCTCTGCAATGACGATCATGTTTCGTGTTATGCTAATGTAATATTGCAATGTGCGTTTCATTGTGTATGTATCAAGCAACAAATACTGAAAAATAAAATATCGAACACATTGACTGATGCTATCTGCGCTATCTATGCTGAGCATAAGTATTGCAATATTCTAGCGGTTAGAAGATCTGTCGGAGAACGCTTCGAAGAACAAATACAACAAGATGTTTCAGAATTTTTCACGGCTCTAATGTCGACTCTATTCCGAAATGAATGATGTATTAGAACTCGAAATGAAGCACGTAACATCTTGTTCAAATTCCAAATGTAATTACAATGTAACTACGCTGGAAAAGAGTTATTTGCTAATATTACCTATAATGAGTTATTTGCTAATATTACAGTCGACATTAAAAAGAAAAAAAGATGTCTCTCTGCAAATTTTGATTGATTTAGAATTTTCGAAATGGGAAATGATAAATAGCAATTGTAATGTAAGGGTACCATTCTGAAAAAGAAAACCGTAATAGAATCAACTTTATCTTAATAATATTGTACAACTCAATTTATATACATTTCTAAACGATGCTTCTAAAAAAATTATCGACTATAATATAATAATCAGATTAACGCCGACGAATACTGTCACGATTAATAAAAAAAAGTTCAAGGTAATAAGCGCTATATTTCACGAGGGTGAAGAAATGAATCGTGTTCACTACATGTGTATGTTGAGAACAGACAAAAAATCGAAATAGTGTTATCCTAATGATTTAAAAGTTATTAAGAAGAAATGGCTGAAAGCAGCACAAGGGGCATATGTGATGTTCTTGGAGCAGATTAAGTAAGTTTGGAAATAACTTTTACATATAATGACACTTTCTAAGAGAATTAGAACTGAATTCTTTTGGTACGTTCACCTTAATAAACTACAGGGTGTTTTTTTAAGCCCGATAGAACTTGAAATTGTAAAAAATAAAACAAAAAATTAAATTTTAATCAAAAAATTTTTTTTATTTCTTTCAGTATACTCTGGCAAATCATCATGAATAGACTCACGCTTGAACAACGCTACCAAATTATCCAAATTTACTTTGAAAATCAGTCGTCGATTCGCGCAACTTATAGACGACTTCGTGATTTTTTTATTTTTGGCTTAACGGGTTTGTTAATAAGCAAAATTGCCGCATATGGAGTGAGACTAATCCACAAGAGACCCTACAGACTCCATTACATCCCGAAAAATGCACCGTTTGGTGCGGTTTACACGCTGGTGGCATCATCGGACCTTATTTCTTCAAAAATGAGGCCGGAGCTTGCGTTATGGTCAATGGAGATCGTTACCGCACCATGATCAATGATTTTTTGTTTGAAAATATGGATAACATTGATCCGGACGAGATGTGGTTTCAACAGGATGGCGCTACGTGCCATACGTCGACCGCAACCATCGACTTATTGAAATTAAAATTTGGCGATAAGTTGATTTCGAGAAATGGACATGTCAATTGGCCTCCAAGGTCGTGCGATTTGACACCTCCCGATTATTTCCTGTGGGGCTACGTCAAGTCACTGGTTTATGCTGATAAACCAGTAACAATTGACGCCTTGGAGGACAACATTGTTCGTGTTATTCGTGACATACGGCCAGCACTGCTCGAAAAAGTGACTCAAAATTGAACGTCCAGAATGCGCTTCGTTAAGAACAGCCGCGGTGGCCATATGCCCGAAATCATTTTCAAATGTTAATGCCATGCATTGATCTTTCGACTAAAAAAAATTTTTTGATTATAATTTAATTTTTGTGTTAGTTTTTACAATTTTAAATTCTATCGGGCTATATATAAAAAAACACCCTTTATTAAAATTTATAATTAAATTTTATTTTCAGAATATTGAAAGAATTAATCATCTGCTTTGGCGCTATATAAGTGCTGCCGTAGGCGCTGAAATAAAGCATCGGTTGCTCCGGCACCGTATAAACGCTACCGTAAACGCTGTATTAAAACATCAACTGCTGTAGCACTGTATAAGGGTTGCCGTAAGTACAGAAATAACATCGGCTGTTCTAATGCTATATGAAGGCTGCCGTAAGCACTGCATTAAAATAAGTGCAATAAAGTTCTGACTTGCCCTATGTATATTACTATGAATAATAAAAATTTCTTATCGTATTTGAAGAACTTTGATATTTCAGAGTATCATAAAGAAATAAATTTCTATGTCAAAAATCGTATTAAAATCGGAGAGACGAAGAAAATATGATTGCGTTCTCACGAGAATAGACGATGGAGAGGCCCATTCTTTATTTTTAGTATATTTATACAATCCGCACCCATATTTTAAGAGGTCATGGGTGTTTTGAGACCTATCTTTTTGAGATACAGCGTAAGAGAACGCGTCGCCGATTTGTGCGCATTGTCAGGCGACTGCGGATAGGGTGATGCACACGCTGTTGTTTTGCCCGTGTTGGGCTGCGGAGAGGATGTCACTTTTTCAGCGGTTGGGGCTCGATGTCCTTGACAGGACATACAGCTCCATTGTCAGAGCGATTATGTGCTTCGCTGCGTGGACAGCCCTCGCAGATTTCTGCGAGGCCGTCTTGCGCAAGAAGGAGCGGACCGAGTGGGAGCGTTAGACTCTGCAGGGGGTTTTGCAAAGGGTTCTTTAAGCTTGGGCCTCTGTGGGTTTGACGACAACATGTGTAAAGAGGTAGGTAAGATGACATTTACGATAATGTTTATAATATACCATAGGATGGAATTCTAGCTTTAAGTAGTGCAGCAGATCATGGAGGTGGGAGCGTATAATCCAAGAACTTGGATGCACCTTGATGAAATGTTGGGTAAGTGATTCCGAAGTGTGCCAATGTGATCTTGCGGAGAAATTTTTGTGTTAGTTTTTACAATTTTAAATTCTATCGGGCTATATATAAAAAAACACCCTTTATTAAAATTTATAATTAAATTTTATTTTCAGAATATTGAAAGAATTAATCATCTGCTTTGGCGCTATATAAGTGCTGCCGTAGGCGCTGAAATAAAGCATCGGTTGCTCCGGCACCGTATAAACGCTACCGTAAACGCTGTATTAAAACATCAACTGCTGTAGCACTGTATAAGGGGT